ATTCATAACAGAGAAAAAATAAAAATAAAAATAAAAAATAAAAAATAAAATAAAACAAAAAAATACAAACTAAATTTAATTACAAAAAAGAAAATGAGGCCATATTTGATCAAATGCCCAAATAGCCTTAGCCACTTCTATTTATAATTTGTTTAACTATCTTGAAACTTTTTAAAATATTTCTAATAGTAGATTCTATAAAGATAATCATTTCTTCTAGAAGGTTTTAGAGGTAAGATCCTCCTAGATAACCAGCTTAAATCCTTTTAGAATATTCTATGATGAATCCTACATGGATCACTAATCTAGCATCAATTCTAGAAACTTCTAAAAACTTTCTGAAAATAACTTCAACTACCTATTTTTATGCATTAGCAATATAAATGTCCCATTACAATCTAATTTCAATTCAATAGACTCAACCATACTACCATCTTTATCTCAAACCATCCTAAAAGATAAAAAAAGAGTTTTTAAATAACTCTAATTTAGAAAAAGATAATCTGCAACCTCTAAAGTGCTCAAATATCTTCAAAAAGAGAAATAATCCACTCTCTATTTAAAAGGATCAATCTCTTATATTAATAAGAGGTCAATCTTGATAAATTGTTATGAATAAATTATTTAAAAGATCAAACAAGAAGATGAATAAAAGAGTTACAACAAGAAAGCTAATATGGACTTGATTAAATTAAATGAATACATGATTAATATCAAGAAAGGTGAATTAGAACTCCAAAAGATGTGTTGTCAAGATTAAGAATCCTCTTAGCCTTGACTTAAATATATATTATGTATTAAGAAGCTTCTTTAGAAGTTTCCATGTTGCTTTGAGATAAACAATCTTAGGATCTTTCTTAAATAATTTCTTTAATCCTCTTAGAACTTTCTAGAGCCTATTAGAATATTTTTAAAATCTTTTAGAAACATCTAAAATATTTTAAGAATATTTTATAATATTTTATTGAAATATTTTAGAATATTTTATTGAAATATTTTAGAATATTTTATTGAAATATTTTTAAAACCTTTTATTAAAATATTCTAATAATTTTCTAAAATCTTCTTGTTAGATATCCATAACATAAACTTCTTGTATAATAAGCCATTCAGTATTTTCAGATTTGAAGAACTATTATATGTATCATCTTTAAAAAAATTGTTAGTGTAGTAGATTTAAAAAATGTTCTTATCTTTAATTTTTTCATGTAGGGCTTATATGTTGGTATCAATAGAGTGCTCAATGTTACATTTCTATACAATTCTAATTTTAAAATTTAAAGATCCAAGATCCTAATCCAATCAAATAGCTATATCCTTCAATGTAATTATTTGATTGATTTTAGATTTTTAAAACATATTTAAGAAAAAATACATTTATAAATCCATAAAATTCCATCTATATATTTGTCATAATATTTATAAATTCTTTATATATAAGTCACTTTTTATTTTTTAAAATTCAAAAAAAATCATTTGAAACATATTTTATTTTGAAAAGCTCTCAAAAACTTAATATCCATCTAAATCACTTAAAACCAATGCTAAAACAACCCCTCTAAAGTGTGCTTTCTAACCTTGCTCTTAAATCTGCAAAAAAACCTTGAAACCACCGTATGTGCTTGGTTTTATTAAATTTTTCAACCTGGATATATAATCAATCTTCTTTGAGTATCAATTTCTATGTTTTTAAAGAAATTTTTGCTACAAGATGTACATTATTCTTAACTTTATCTTCAAGATGTACATATCATTTATTTTTTTAATCTAATTTATTTTGTCTTACTTATGGCTATATAAAATAAGTAGAAGTCTATTTTGCAAAACATAGCATTAGTACTTATTAAATTTTTTACTTCCTTAACTATTATCTATATTTTTAAAGTAATATGCTATGATATTTTTAATTAAGTTCTTCTTTAATATAATCCTTCTTTTTCTTGTTTAGTTAATATTTGTATTATAATACAACAATATTATCTTTAAAAAGTTGTTTGTTCATGTTAGATGCACCTTCTTCTTTTTCATGTTGTATCATGTTTATTGTTATTAGTTCTCTTATAATTTTGTTGTAGTTTTTAGTCAAGTTAGTGTTGTGAATGGTTTAATTGATAGCTTTCAAAAAATAAGTCCACAAGAATGAACTAGTAGGTGGGATATTAATTGTGCTGTCTTAAAAAGAACACTATAGTGTAGTTTAGACACCATCAATAGAATATAGGTAAATATGCATTTCTAAGAGATACATTAGTGTACTTGTTTGTAGTGATTTCAAGTTTGCTTAAAATATAGAATTGAAATAAGAGTAATAGATTGATATTGAATTATATTATAATGCAATTAATAAATCCATTTTATAAATATTAGTCTTACATGATTAATTGCTTTCTTTGAGTTTGATTAGGAATTGAGGCTTGCATGTAAAAAAACATATTGTTTGCTTTGAATTTGATTAAGTAATTGGACTTATTTCAAAATAATATATTATCTATTCTTAGTTTTATTGGATCTAAAAGCTCACATCAATTGGATGTTGGAATTTGTGTTAATATCAATCTTAATGTTGTGCCTACTTTTTCTATTTGATATAATACATGCGTTGGTTTAGGATGTCTATAGTATGAGGAGGCTTGTGACTTGCACCAATACTAATCTATCTCTTCGTGCAGTTTATCAAATACCAATGTGGTTTAGATCTGGATTGTGCCAACACTAACTTAATATGCTTCAAATTGATTTGCTTGCTAGTTTCTAAACTAAACTAAGACTATTACAGATCTAGATCTGTATTAATTCAATTGTATTCCTTCCAACACATTAATTGGTGTTCCTGCTCAAACTGGGAAGCATTTTGTGCAGTCTTGCACACTAACAATATGAAGTACTAAGGATCCAGCCCTTGTAGTATACCACCTTCCTTTGAGATTCTATTCCACACACCCAGTGCCCTTCACCAATCCTCTCTCAAAGCTTTCATTTCAACATTGCAATGATTGTAAATTTGTAAAAATAACTATGAATTTACATGTCAATTCTAATTAACATCCTCACAAAAATAAAAATATTGCCTAGTGTCTACAATTGCATTCAGTTTATTACTTTTCTTGCAATATTATCCAACTATTACTTTGAATATTTTATAATATTAAAAATACAATTTATTATGACGTGCATATGATATTTAATTTTCAGAAATAAATTTTGACATAAATTTCACAAAAAGTTTTAACATAATATATTGTTTTAGAATGTTATCATTGTATATTTTGTGCAAAAACTGAATTTTCTTGATTATTTGTTGATATCTGTTATTTTAATGTGTTCACACTGTTTTAATGAATTGAGAAAATTTTCAAAAAAACCTCTTAACAGTTTCTAATGTGTGCATGTATGTTTGTTATTCAGGATCTAATGTTAATCAACACAGTTCTGTTAATATAATATTTTTGTTAACATTTATTTTGTGCAGAGACTGTAATAATATGTCTTTCCGATCAAGAACATTATGCCTTGTTTTAACAGTTTTGTTACTCCTCTTTTATAAATGCTATTTGTTTTATACTATATTTAATGACATAGATCATAGGTTTTTTTTTTTCATAATTCTAATAATGACATGATTGTGCATCACACTTTATTATTTTCTTGTTGATGCAAGAACACTTTAATAGAAAATTTAATGAAAGTATTTTATTATTATTATCATAAAAATATAATGTACTAGAATCATTATTTGCAATAAAACCGTAAAGGAGTTTAAAATATATATATATATATATATATATATATATATATTTTATATATATATAAATCTAAAGTCTCTACTGTCATACATTGTATAATCTTTCAAAACTTCATAATTTATAAACATATATTGTTCAATGATGCTCATCATAATCAAATAAATTATATATATACTATTTATATTCTAAATAATAAACCTCTTCATGTAGATTAAAAATCTTTATTATTTTATTAAATTAACCATATATTCTTGATAATGATGCTCATCATATTCAAATAAATTGTATATATACTATTTAGATTCTAAATAATAAACCTCTTTATGTAGATTAAAAATCTTTAATATTTTATCAAATTAACCAGATATTCTTGATAAAATATTAGTGAATGTTTGATACAATATTTGATTCAAAGACATAGTTAACCAATTTATTGATTAATTTATTGGGTTTAGTTAAAATTTTAAAATGACAATAATTCACATAATAATTATTAATAAACTTAAAATATTCAAATTATCAATGAATTAGATCAATCTATTCTGAAAAAATAAACTCAATCCATTACATCTAATGTGTATTAATTTTAAATTAAAATTATATACATTTAATTTATAGAATCATATTTAAAATATATAAGATAATTTAATTTGTGGTGTTGGTAGCAAAAATTGTGGTGGCATTAGCAAATACCCTATGTGTGTATGTGTGTATATATATATATATATATATATTTATTGAAAATAAATTTTAATCCAAAATATTCAAAAAAATATAATAAAACTATTTTAAAATAAGCAATGGATAATCTATAATGCATAATCAATGAAGATGTAATTTACTAGTAATTTGGAATGACAAGCAAAACAGAACGCTAGAAGCTAAGCCAGGTATCAGCAACCCATTTTTTGTCTTTCAAAACATTACTTGCTCCTTTGACGCTCTCCCTCAAGGAAAGACACATCAGATGCCTGTTCCATTTTTTATTTTATTTTTTTCTCTTTCAATCCTAGACAGAAACTCACCTCATTTCTACAATCAAACAAACAAGGAAAACCCAATTGCTGTAACAGAAACCCAGTTCTGGTGATGCAAGTTCCACCAGGCAGAAGTGCGCAACCCATGCGTGGGCTGCTTGTGGGTGGTCGCAGCCATGGCAGGCACGAGGACTTGCTTGGGACCCACAAAAAAGAAGAAGAAGAAGCAGATGATGATGAAGGAGAAGAAAGGGATGCATAAAAGAGTGAGTTGTTGAACAGAAGAGGCTGTGGTGAGAGGTGGCAGATGCAGATTAGAGTGAATGGGGCACCACTTGGCGGCATCAACAGGGCCTGCTTTGTCATGCACAAGTCCTCCTCTTCAAGGCCTCGCTCTTACGATGTATTATACTAATCTGCTGTTGGATGTGCACTGCATATCCAAGCATATCTTACTTCGTCTCCCTCCCTTCCCCAACCTTACCCAGCTCTTGCTTCGGAGACAGAGCGTGTTGGTTTCGCAGGAGGTTGTTGGGAACTCTGTTCAGTCTTTGCACCTCGTCTGTGACAAGTAAGTAAGTGCGTGCATTGCTTAATTCAGTGAGAGTTGCTGTGTTCATCTTTGCAGCTTTGGGTTGTGACGTGTGTGGTCGATTGGCCGTCAATTAGTGGACTTGTATTGCTTGGACGAGTCTCACCAGATGGATTAGGTTTGAGGTCGTAATTTGGTCATTTCTTGCCTAGTTAAGCTGGATCTTGTGAGTGTCTTGTATGCTCGGGAGTTTTCTTTGCTAGAAATTGGATGCTAATGCTCTTGGGGCAGGTTACGTTTCAAGGGGTGTGCATGGTCTTTACCCAATGCGAAGAGTAGGATTTGTGATGAGTTGTCGGGTTTGGAATAAATTAAGATGAATAAGAAACCCATCGATGTGCCAGTGAACGACATGCAAAGAGATCAACATTGAGAGGTTGCTTTTTGGTTGGGCTAGGTGTTGAGCAATGGCAGGTGCTGTTGGTAAAGGACCCGCGTCCACTCCTGAGGACCTACCTGGTAAAGGCACCAATGTAATTACCAGCTTGTTGGGGCAGGGAGCAAAACTTTTGCAGAGCTTGAAACCTATCAATAAGATCCATGCTCATCTCTGCGCGTAAAAATCAGATCCTTGAAAACCCTGCTGTAGACCTTTACTGTTGAATTTGACACTTATCTTTATTCATAGGCACTTCACAAATCCGTAGTGTACTATTCATGTTATCGCTCTGTTTCTCGTTGATTGATATTCTTGACATGAAGTGCTGGATGCGATTTGGAGCGATTGTTTTTGTGCAACACCTACAATCAATGAGAATTCTAATAATAATTAAGGTGTGGAATTATAATATATCGCATTTGGAAGAGCATGGTAATTGTGACGGATAGTTTATGAGCTCTGGACTTGAACAACTTGTTCACTATGCAAACAGATTCCATTTTTATGCACATGACATGAAACGGCAAGTGGAGGCGCATCATTACTGCACCCACTACAATCAGGATATGAGGCAATGCTTGATATACGACAGTCCCGAAAAAAACGCTCGTCTTATTGGGGTGGAGTACATCGTTTCTGAGAAGCTATTCCAAGGTTTGCCCGATGAGGAAAAGAAGTTTTGGCATACTCATGAGTATGAGGTGAAAGGAGGTATTCTCTTCATGCCAGGAGTGCCTCAAGCAGCTGAACATAAGGAGCTCGAGGAGGTAATTACCAGTTTTTGTTTGTGATCTTTTTAAGGAGTCCAAACTCCATTATTCCTGCTTAAGGTCGAGAATCTCTGAAGGATGAGTATACGATTCAAAGTACTTATTATGGCCTGGGATGTGCCAGGTTGCGAAAACATACGGGAAGGTGTTTCACTTCTGGCAGTACGACCGTGGCGATACCCTCCCCCTGGGTCTTCCGCAGTTGATGATGGCCTTCACTGAGGATGGACAACTGAATCCCAACCTTGCGAAAAGTAAGCAGCATCTCGCACTTAGCTCTCCAGTGATTTTCGCAAGCTTAGCCTATTGTAGGGAATCAATTTGAAATTTCTGCAGAATTCCGCTGCGTAAGAACTTAGCGCCAGAATGGTGCAACAATGTAGTTGGTTTTCACCATCTTTCAACCCCAGTTCTGTATGTGTGTCACCGAAGAAAAAGCTCCATGTTTGACGATGGTATCTATCGATGCTGCAGGTGTAGAGGACAAGTTTGGTGTTAGTTTTCAGAAACACGCAGAGAGTCGAAAGCACATGACAGGGCCTTCGATGGGTATCCACCCTCTTGCTAACCCTTGGCTTAAGGGCACTGGCTTGCAATCGGAGCTTCGTGAGGTTGATATCAAGGAAAACCCTTCTGCATCGAAGTAGGGAGAGGCCTAGAATGACAGTTTCTCAACCAACGCACATTTACAAAATTGAAGCTGAAGCAATCAAGTGTCCAAATTTCCTTCATGGATTCATGGACAAGTCATTTTGGTTGGAGTGCTTCCTTGATGGAGGAGAAATGATGGAACCTGACGGTCTTCTCTACAGAAGAAAGTTTAAGGAAAATGTTGAGAGAATTTGTAGGAATTACTGTGAATTCGATGTACAGGAAGAACTACGAAATGGATGCTGTCTTGCGATGACATATCCATGGATAACTCGAGGAGGCAGATATGAGACCTATACCTTTGCGGTGGCATACACATAAAACGGCAATTTTTCTGGTTGCCGACATCGGTACTTTCTGTTGAAATTCACTTTGCCCTTTCCAAGAATGTTACCATGTTATGGGATGTTTGACCACAACAATTTCAACCTTAAAATATGCTTGAGGTCGTTGGTCACTTGGGCAAGTTTTTGGAGTTTATTTATGATTAAAACGTGTGCAATTACCTGAATCAAATTTCAAAAACATATATGTTCTAGTTGCCAACGAGGGTTCTCTTTTTAATAGTTCGGAAGCTTTAGATATATACATACAGATCCACCGAGGGTATAATCTGGCATTCAGAAAGTAGGGATACTCTCATAGCCTTTCATAAAACACAATACAGACAGTAGCCCATCTCCACAACAAACCAAAACCACCTTCGTCATACATATCATAACTGTCGCAACCCTTTCGAGGCTCTTAGCTCAGGACTCGCTAGATCCCGGAGGGGTTCACATCTCTCTTGCCTGCACCTCAAAGCATCTAAAACCATAGCCGGGTGTTTCAAGTCCTGCCGTTCTGATGCTCTGCCTTAAAGATGAGGCCAAAACAACCACAACCTCGAACAGACCAAATGCACAATCAAGGGAAACAGCAGGAAAATGGAAGATGTGTCAGCTGTCAGGTGTGGCCCATCGCAAGAATGCTGGACCTCCGCTGAGTTTGACTTGCATATCATATCGTAAAAATCACCCACATCCTCTGATCAACAAACGAACTCACAGCTACGCGGAAACATGATAAGTTGATACACAGGCCCCTAAACTCACGAACTAAAAATCCTCAAATAAGAAGGTTAGCACACTACCATTGACACACAAGAATAAGACAGTCTGAGACAGTGCTGAATGGCAAGAGGAGCTATTTGTTGCTGCGCAAAGAGCATTCAGCGGCGCTTCTTCACAAAAATTAGGGTTTCTCTTTTGCCACCAAATCTAGGTTATTTTCTTTTTATGAGCTAGTAGCTCCTATCTATGCAATTTGCTGCTAGATCATGGAAGCGTGTTATTATTAGAATTGGCTAGTGAATAGCAGATGCATCAGAAGAGGACTTGGTTCTGAATGGAATCTTACAATGTTTGTCAAGGATATCACAGTATTTCATTCCAGCAAACCTTGATTCAAAATAATCTTAAGTAAATTTTTGTTTCAGAGAATCTTAATAATATTCTAATCCTACCAAATCGTAAGCAAATTTTTATCTTGATAATTTTTTGAAAATTTTGTTTTTTCTCCTAAAACAATTCTATAAAAATCATAGTTCTAGCAGATCTTAATTCTAATCTTGTTTTTAAGTATACTTTAATCCTCACAATTCAAAAAATTGAAGAATTTTTTTGTAAATATTTTGCAATCCCAAGACATTAGAGATTGAAACCTCTTCTTTCTTCTCTCTCTCTGTTTTTATTTTGTTTTATTTTTATTTTCTTTTTCTTTTTTAATGGAATAAATGGTAATCACCAAAAAAAAAAATTAATAAAAATATTTTGCAGGTGGATAGAGAAGAATTCAAGAATCTACTATGGATAAATTGGAAAAAATCAATTTTACTTAAATTTGGTGTTTATTCAATGAATTTATTTAATCTTAGTACTTGTTTTATTTAGGTAAAAATTAATAATTTTTAGTACTTATTTCAACTGATTGAATTGCAAAAAATGCTTCACCTTTGATGTTTACTCTTAGAAATTCTTGCAAAATATTGTAATTAGTTATTTACTAAATCTGCAGAATAAATGCCACTTTCTTTCCTATGCTACTTTGCATTCATTTTGAGTTAATGTTATTATCAATCTTTGAGCTCATGTCTCCTATCTAAGCTAGCTCCAATCATATTTATTGCTAAATGTGCAATTCTTGTACCTGTTCTCCTTTTTGGAAACTAATTTGGAAAGTTTGTTTTCTTTCTACTTAGCCACTTCTTATTGCTATACTCATGTCAACTCTTTTTTAATGTACACACACAAAATTTATTTTTGTTTTTAAAAAAACCATTAATGTTATTTGATCTCACTTACTTTATCATTATATTTGTTTCTTTATTTTGTAATATACCTTCATCTTGACTTAACTTTTATTTTTCTACTTCTAACTTGTTTTATAAAAAGAACAAAAACTAAGAATTGCATCTATTATTTTTTCTTGTTAAATGTTAATGCCTCTAACCATCTGTATTGTGCCATCAATTAATTCCATTAATCTCTTATCACATTATTAATGTAGTTGGCTTAGCTAGGATTGTGTAAAGTCTAATGTATCTCTCACTTTAAGTTACTCTTATTGTGTTCTCTTTGCTCTTGTTTCTTTTGTTTATCTTTTATTTCTTAGCATATTTTTTTAATAAGAATTGTTTATCTTTTTTTCTTTTTTTTCTATTGTAATCTACTTACCAAAGAAATCTATAAAAAATATTATACATAGCATCTTATATGGTATTATTAGAGCTAAACATTAGAATGTATTACATTATTAGAATTTGGATGTTACATAGACTATATTTTGCATCAAATTAGCAAGAATAAGAAGACTATGAATTATTTCTCTTATATTAGAATCTATCTTAAATCTAATCTTTTTATTTTTTAATTAGAATTTTTTTCAATTAGTAGAATCTCTTACATCCATCATATTTTTTTTCAATATTTTTTTGTATGTTTTTGTTATAACATCACCACTAAATTGTCTATGCAAGCTTATAAATGTCAACTTTAAGCATTTTCATAAAGCTCTATGTTTTTTAAAAAAGCTATACTTAGTTTAAATAAAATTAGATCTTTCAATGTAGGTTACCAAGATTTTGGAACAAACCAAAAAAAAACTCTTATAATCTATTAATATTATTTGAAAGCATATCCAAAATATGTTTAGATTGACAAATTAAGAATGAGACAAAATCATTATAGTTTATACTTTTTTTTTAATTAGTTTTATAGATTACATTTACCAACTCTATTAAATAGATTTACTAATTCCTTTTGATCTACACAACTTAATCTAATTATAAATTACAATACTTTTATTCTATATAAAATAAAAATGAAACATATTACATTTTAAAATAGTTATAATTAAAAATATTTATCCAATCTATATATGAAACTTTATCCAAAGGCTAATAAACTTTCAATTTGCATAAAATTATGAACTTAAAACATTCCTTGTAGTTCTACAAAGTGTAGAATTATTAGATTCTTAAATTAACATGGCCAAAGTGTTCAAATTTCTACAATCTTGAATTATGTTCTATTTTTAATATTTAAAAGTTTGGCTTATTTTTTCTAGAGAATAACCTTGACTTCATCTACTTTAATATTAAATTTAACATTATAATTAATCATATTAATGTTCTCTATCAATTCTTTATCATATCCTATTTAAGAACTAATCTTTATCTTTTTGCTTTTGTATTACAATTTCTTTTGACTTCTCAAAGAATCCAACATGAAATCAAATACATATATATATATATATATATATATATATACATACTTTTTTATGATCTTTTTAATTTTTATTTAATATCTATTAATATAAAATAATCAAGATTTATAATCCTTCTACTATTATAATCTTCTTCTTTTTTTCTAGATTGTCTTAATTTTAAATCAAACTTATTATTATAACATTCTTTAACATGTTATTCAATAATCTTAATTCTTGAATATACTATAAAATAACAAAACACCATCAAAAAAGCTATATACTTCTATGAAACTAATGATAGTATTTGTAAATTTTTAAGAATTCTTATTTAATTAATTACATATATAATATTTTTAGAATCAAGAATATAGATTTTAAGTTTTTTTGTAAGTTCAACTTTTGTTACAATATCATAATATCCTTAATTTTTTTTTAAAAAAAACTAATATAGAAATGATTTCAAGATATTTTAGTAAAATTCAAAAATCTAAAACTATGTATATTTTATTGATTTGACATCTTTCATTTACAATAAATTTTAAAGTAAGTTTAAAATTTTAAAGTAAGTAGAAATTTAAAAAATATTTCTATTATTATTTCTTCAATGTTAAGATAAATAGTTTTATATTTTTTTATAACATTTTCAGTAATTGATGGAGGTTTTGTATGATTAAAAAATATTGAATTGAAAAAATAAATTAAATTATTTGTAAAATTATTATATATATATATAAGATGTTTTTGTTTATAATGAGATAGTCTTATTTCATAATTTAAAAAATGTGCAAAGGACTTATATACCTTTAAACAAACTAAGCAAGATTCTATACAAAATATTGTTGATTTAAAAAGATAATGAATTAAAGATTGAACTAATTTCAATTTAATTTTACTTCTTCTTGTAACATATTAATTTTATTAAATTATTTTTTACAATTATTATAAAGTAGCTTATTGAAATTTTGATTTTAAATATTTTTGGACTTTTAAAATTTAAATTTAGTGAAAAAGTTTAGATCAAATATCCTTAATCAGACGAAATCGATAATTGTTTGAATAACTCTATTTATTACAATTACGTGGTCTATAAATTTAATACTGTTGGGCAGCAATAAAAATAAGTTGATTTCTAACTTGTTTGATTCATATAAGATAAAATAAATAAAATAGAGTGTTAAATTTATTAGTGCTTTAAAATAAATAAAAGAATGTTTCAAAATACATCTTTATATAATATACTTTTATTTGTTATCATATTCTGTAAGAGTAGCTAAAAGATACAAGAGGATTTGTTTTAAATTTTAAAAATCTTCTTATTTTCCAATGCAAAAAACATCATATATATATATATATATATACAAAACTAAATAGATTACTATTTGTTATTTTTATCTTATCTTTTTAAATCATATTTTATATACTACATATTTTTTAGAACAAACATTTATTTCAAGCATATTTTTTAATTTACGAATAATCTAAAAAATATCTTAGTCATTTTTTTAGAGCAAGAATAACAACAATGTTATATTTTTTATGTTTGACATTCTCAGAACTTTACTATTCTTGATACTTCATTATATAGTGTTTTTTAATTTCTTCCCCTCATCTCCAACTTTCTATTATTAAATAATATAATGATTTGATAGACAATGACAATTATGTGTCAGAT